TTGATGGATTCATAATGAATTGATCCATTATGAGTATTTTGATAGGATATGGGGATTGATTTTGTACTTGAGGTATTTTGTTTGGGCAAATTTGCAGTAGGAACTAACAATAATGGTGGTATGACCATGGATTAACTAAATTGAGTACGATCAGTATACATTTTCTATTTAAATGGTAGAACCGCTTCATTAAAAATGACATGGCGTGATATGTAAACTTTGTTTGCGATGGGTCATAACATCTATAGCCTTTTTGTGAGGATGCATATCCTATGAAAACACAAGGATGTGAGAGAGGAGATAGTTTATTGGCAGCATATGGCTTAAGCCAAGGATAACATAAGCTCCCAAACACTTTTAAATGTCCATATGAAGGTGGAGTACCATATAGAATTTCATGAGGAGATTTGCTAGCGGTATTTGAAGATGGCATCATGTTAATGAGATAGTTGGCTGTCATTAATGTGTCAACCCATAAATGTGAGGGAATAGATGCTTCAATGAGAAGAGTTCAAAGACTCCAGTGTCCCCGATATCTCAATCTTGTCACACGTAGGAAGCTTGAAACAAATCTTCCTCTCCCTGCCTCTCTCGTTTCTTGTATTCTAGTAATCGAATATGACAGACTTTTTCAAAGTGAGCTATAACTGAGGTGATTTAGGCCTTTTTGGAAGCACCAAACAGAGGGAAGCATAACAACACACAACGCTTTCTTAGGTTACAAAATGTAACGGCGTGACGAACATACATACCATTTTATTTCATGATATTTTCATATCTAACACTCAAAACATTAATATTACATACCTACCACTTATATATAACTTTAATATCAAATATATCACTCCTATAATTCATTTCTACAATTTATATCATCCTATAAATTTTAATATTTCATTCCATGCATCCAAATTTGTTCTATGGGAGATAGTCATGTAATATTAATGTTTTTGGTGTTAGATATGTAACTAGCATGAAATAAAGTGGTATGTATGTAAAACCCCCAAAAAAAATTAAAGTCATACCGAAAACAACTCTTTAGTGATGTTTCATAAAGTAAAAAAAACTAGAAAGTCCTCCCAATCGTAGCCTAACATGTGGGAGGAAAAAAAATTCTGCATCATGCAGAAGGGCAAGCTAATGAGTGCTTGTAAAAATAAAAAATATATATATAAAAAAAAAAGCTAACGAGGGCTTGTTATATAAAATTAGAGAGCTACAAATTATTGAATTTACTGATAAATTTGATTTTATATATCTTATCATAGTGAAAATAGAGAAATAAGCCCTTATTTTTTTAAGTAAATTTTTGTTGTCCATCTTAGACTTGTGATTAAAAGTATACTTATGTTATAATTGCGTTAATAACTTGTTTATTGAACATCTTAAGGGACATAATATTATCTTAATTAACTCTAGGGAAAATTATTCTATACTATCTATAATATGAATAAGTATTTAAGGAAATCATCTTTTCTTGCTCCTATTCTAAATAGTAATGCACAAGTGAATAAAATATTACAAATCTTATTTCTCAAGAAAGTTATAATTAAAAAATTAGATTCATTTACTAAGGTTTATCATATTAGAAGCACTGTAAAATAAGAATTTATTCGGTTCTCCTCATCCATCAAAGGGATAATTTCTTCTAAAATATATATATATTGAATTTAATTATATATTTTATTTTCTACTTTTTAATCAATAAACTATTTATCACTATTGCATATTATACTCATTTCATTAACTAGCTATGAAATTTGCTTTAAAACAATCTTCAAGGGACACCTTAATGAAGCAGTGATGGGGGCTCAGTGTGCTAAGTGTAAGCAATTGATTGGTTTTTGTTGGACTTGAGCTATACAATAAAAATATACTTAATTTTTCTTTGATATATGAAAATAACAAAAGCCCACTAAATATACAAATATACATGTCAAATCAAATAATAAAATGATAAAAAACAATGTGAATCTCCCAAAGAAGTGTTCTTATTAATTGCAATTAAATTATTTTTTTTAATCTAAATGTACAGTTTATTGTATTGAATGTAAAATTGATATTTTTTAGTTTTTACCAATTGATGGAGACTTACAAGTAAATTTGATACTAATGAAAAATAAAATATTTTGGACTAATAAATATAAAACAACATAGTTTTTACAATGAGATCTTTAATTTTAGATATGGATCAGAGCATATGCATTAGTAGATTTCTATCGACCTTGTAGGAGTGAAAAGGGAGGTTTATGGCCTTCCTACAATTATAATATATCCATAGAACCTAGAAGGTTTAACATCCTATGTTTAGGCATGTTAACATTTTATTTTAATACTCCTATTCATTCTAATATTCATGTATCAAGGTTGCACGTTACACTAAATATTAACTAAAATGTTCATAAGTATTTCAAAGCACAAGAGTCTATATTAGTAATTTCTATGTGTTTATGTTATTAGACTAAAACTCATAAATTTATTTAGACATGAATAACACAAGAAGTAAACTCATGTTCATTTCATTCATATAAGAAAAAGATGCAAGAGAATTAGTAAGATAAATATCACATGTAAGCATCAATTGATGTTTTCTATCTCCAACAATAGAATTTCTTAGACAAGATAGGCTAAAATCTTTCAATTGAAAGTATCTTACACTTACATAATCTCCCTTAGATTTTACTATAAGGGGGAACAAAAGGTGCACATCACAAAGGAAAAGACTCTATTGAAATGATATAACTCCCTAAATAAAAAAACTAAAAAACAATTTATATAAATGTAGGAACGGACTCAGCTATGGTGCTCGACAAGGTTATGTTGCATTGGTATAAAATAAACTAGCACCTCAGTTAGATATTAAAGATCATTTGAGATCTTAAACAATCCTACAGCTAAAGAAAATTGCTAACTTCCCTAATTTGATTCTCCTAATTTTGATTGATAACATATTGACTTTGCAATTAGTTTTCCATCTGAAGCACTAAATCCTCCAAAGATGACTTCCTTTCTTTGATTGATTATTTTGATTAAATTATGGGTGATGAGAACATCCAGGGTTCATTATAGGCTTTTGAGAATTATTCTAAGGTCTTAGAGGGATGGATGGGTTTGTATTCCATTGACTTTTATCATTATTATTACTCCAACTAAAATTAAAATAGTAAAGTTATTAAGAGAAAGAAAGTGCTATTTTCTAGATTGAGAAAGTGCTAGAAGTTGAATTTTTTTAGTTTGCGTCTTCTTCACGATTGTTCATTATTATGGCGAAGGTTTGCCGGTTATTGCAATCCCATGATCAGGGCAAATTATTACGTCCAGTGACCAGATTCGTCCGGACACCAATCAAGACGTGTCACATCACCAAAATGCACCGAGACCCAGTGTATTCGGGTGACGTGACGCGTCTGGATTGGGTGTCTGGACGTCCGGTGACCGGATGTAATAATTCGCCATCGGGGCACATTATTACGTCCGGAGTCCGGATTCATCCGGACACCATGATCGGACCACCTCACCATAACTATCTTTCGATCCATATAAATCATTGTTATGGATCCATAGGAAGAATCCCACCTGAGAATGGAAATGAAAGTCAGAATTTTTACAAGCAGAGGTCATTAGTTATTAAAGATGGTGTTCTTCCAGAGGTTCATCAAAATGTTCCTGATGAAGGTGAAGGCAAGAAAAGTTTATTTCCTCAAGATTTGAAGCATGTGATTGATAGCCAATTTTTTTAAGATCGCCAATTATCTGCTTTGAAGAAGGGCTTAACTGGATTCGTAGCAGGAGCTAATGATTTGGAAGCCTCATCTTCATCAGGTTATAAATTGAAAATTAGTAGATTTATTAATCATGCTATTACTGATGAAAAGCAATGTGAAAGTTAATCTATTTCTATTTCTCACAATGTCTCCTAAGATTGGTTTAAATTCTAAAGAAGAATTTGGTAATGTGCCTAATCATGGAGTGAATGCTTGAGAAAAAAAATCATCATAGTAAAGTTAATCATCTTGAGATAGATACTGATATGACATAAGATGGAAATGTTGTTAAATTAAAGACTCAGAGAGAAATTGCAAATGTTCAAGTATTGAGAAATTCTCTTGTAGTAAAATTTCTTGGGCAAAAAATTCCTTTTTTCTGTGTGTAGCATTGAATTGAGACGACAGTGGGGCAAATTTGGTGGATTCCATCTAATCTCGCTAGGTTTAGATTGGATTTTGTGTTCCTTCCATTCCACTTAAGCTATGGAAGAAGTACTAAGTGATGGCCCTTGATATGTTTGAGGTTGTATAATAGGTATTTATTAATGGACACCACAATTCTCTCTGTTATCTATGAAACGATTATCATCACATGTTTGCATTCGCTTACAATGTTGGGATGAATTAAATGTTAAACAAATTACTTAAAAAGTAGGAGTTCCTTTGTTACTTTATGGTAACATATTTAAATGGGAAAGAAAGAAATTTACAAGAGCTTGTGTGCGAATAAACTTGGATTCTAAGCTATCTAAAGGAATTTGGATTGAAGTTTTAAATGGAAGATTTTTTCAGAAGATTGAGTATGAAAAAATCTCATCTTTTTTGTTTTAAATGTGAGAAGATCAGACACAAAGTTAATATATGCCCTAAAGTTCATAATGTAGTTCAAAATAATTTGGGAAGTAAAATCATTATTGATTCGGAAAAAGGAATTCCTACGAAGATTACTGATAATGCTGTTTCTAAACAAAATAATGATTTTGTCCTTGGATTCATATGAATTTCAAAAAAATTAAACGGGAAATATTTGGTGAAGGATAATTCTAAAAAAAAATTGTTAGTAAAGTCCATGCGAACACTGATCATCTTGATGCTAAGATTAATAATAATGATGTAACAATCGAGGATAAATGTTTGAACTTTAACAAGAATTCTTCAATTACCAAGGAAGACTACTCAGCTGTTAAAGATAAATCTTCAAATTTTACTGATGAAGTGCTTAATGGTCCCAAATTAAATGAAGACCAAATTCAATTTATGCATATGGATGTTACAAAAAAAGCTATTGATTCTATTCAACATGTTAAATCTACAAATGTCCGTTTAGAAATATGTGCTGCTGGAGATGCGAAAAAATTGCTTATAAATTCTGAACCATCATTAGCTTTGTTAAAAGCTAATAAATTTAATCTATTATCACAATTTATCGAGGAAAATGCTACTGAAAATATTGCTGATCTGAATCCTATATCTGAATCTGCTACTGAGTTGAAACCTGAATCTGAAGTTGTTGCTGATCTTATATCTGAAGCTGCTGATCTGATATCTGAAGCTAAAGCTCCTGCTGTTTCTAGAGCTGTTGTTGATCCAAAATCTGATTTGAAGATTTCTCTAGTGTTGGTTCCACAGAAGATGTCATCCAACGAAAACTCTGAACCAAAGATGGATAATTTTAGGAACAAAAGTTTAAATATGTCTGCCATCCAAAATTCTGAACAAAACATAAGTAAAAAAAGTATTCTTATTTGCTGAAAACTAATGATGCTGGTAGTTCTTTGAGTTTGAAACAAAAAAGAACTAAAGAGATAAAATCCTTGGGGCTATAGATGATATCCCTAGAAAAAGAAAAGGTGATGTGGGTGTGAGCCGTGGAGGTGGGGAAATATCTCCTTTGATATCCTAATGTCTTCCTTCGCTTTTTTAAATTGTAGAGGAACCAAAAAAAGAAGGCTTCTCTTTATCATAAAGAAATTGTTAGAGATAATATTGTATTTTTATTTAATTAATTGAAACCAATATATCCATTATTGATAGGAAGGAGGTTAATAGAATTATTGGTGATGATTGAGATTTTTTTCTATCATCCTACTGAAGGTACTTCAAGTAGCATTCTTGTTTTATGGAAATGGGAGGAGGCTATGTTTGATGTTGTAGAATATTCTTCTCAATTTGTTTTTGGTGTTATCCAAATTCCTGATAAGGGTAGATGGAATGTTGCTACTATTTATGGGATCAAAGATTTGCATGTTTGGAGAAGGTTATGGGATAGTCTTGAAAAGCTTTCTTCTAATATCATTCCTTTTATTGTGGGAGGGGATTTTAATTGTATTCTTTTCAAAGAGGATAAGAGAGGTGATAAGAGTTTCATTTTTTCTCACAGCCCTTAGGAGATGAAATCTTTTATGACTAACAATGATTTGCATGATGTAGATTTCATTGGACCAAGATTTATGATGCAATAATAAGGAAGGAACTTCAAGTATTTGGGAAAGATTAGATGAGTGTTTACTTAATTCAGCAGCATTACAGTGCTACATTTGCCATGATTAGACATCTTGCAAGAGTTGCTTCTAATCATAGTCCAATTATTTTCAAGATTAGTGACATTACTCGTCCACAATATAAATTTATTAGATTTGAAGATAATTGTAAATCCTATCCAGCTGCTTGGAACATAGTTCTTTAAGTCTTGGAGAAAATTAGATTTTGGTAATGAAACTGAAATACTTCAAAGGAAGATGAAAATATCATTTAAAGCCCTTTATTATTGGAGCAAAAATAAATTAAAGGATTTGAATACTATCAATGATGATTTAAAAAGGATATTATTGAATTGCAATTGAAGAAAGATCAAATGGTGGACTTAATCCTGAAAATCTTATGCTTCTTCAGATTGATTCAAGTCCATGAATTGAATGTGAAGTTAGCTCGTTTATTTACATGGTGGAGTCAAAGAGCTAAAACAAGATGGATGGAGAAAGGAGGTTCAAATTCAAAAAAAAATTATAATTATGCTTCAACTAAGAGGAATGGTAATTGGATAAAGCAAGAAACAGATGAAAATAAATCTTATATAGAAGATCAAGATGAAATTGAATCAGTTTTTCTGAAATTATTCAAACACAAACGGCAAAACATAATTTGTAATCTTTCAGATTGGCCTCATGTGTATAACGAACAGCTAATTGATGAGGCTAACTTTGGGATGTTGAATGCAGAATTTACTATAGAAGAATTTTCTCAAGCCGTGAATCAATTGGGTAATAACAGGTCGCCTGAACTTGATGGTATAATAGCTTCTTTCCTTAAATTCTATTGGAAAATTGTAAAAGAAGATACTTGGAAAGCTATTGATTGTTTTTTAAAACTGATAAAATATATGCTGATTCGAAGGATACATTAATTGTATAAATTCCCAAAATTAAAAATCCAATTGAGCCTTCCCATTTCAAACCAATAAGTCTTTGTCAAATGATTTACAAGATCGCTGCCAGAATGATTTTGAATAGATTAAAATGGTGTCTTTCTAAGATTATTACTAAAGAACAAGTAGCTTTTATACCTGGAAGATCAATGTCAGATGTTGTCTTTTGGCTAAAGAAATTTTTAACAAGTTTAGATTTTATAAAGCAAAGAAATGTTTAATGGCTGTCAAAATCGATATGGAGCAAGCTTATGATAGTATGACTTGGCCCACTTTATTGAAAACCTTAAGTTAGTTTCGATTTCTGTCTAAGTTTTCAAATCTTATTATGGAATGTATTGAAAATGTTAGATATTTTATTCTTAATAATGGGAAGAACTCTAATTAGATTAAAGCAAAGAGTGGATTAAGATAGGTTGTCCTTTATCACCATACCTTTTCATCATGTGCTCTCAATTACTATCCAATGCTATCCATCAAAAAGGTATGGAAATGGGTATAAAAATTGATCCACAAGCTAAAAAATTACATATTTATTATATGCATATGATGTTCTTTTGTTCTCAATTGCATCTCTAAAAGTAGCTAATTTAATGAAGAAGACCATGACTGATTTCTGCGGTTAGATAGGTCAAAAAGTGAAAGAAAAAAATAAGTCTCAATTTTTTTTTTTGGAAATTCCATTAATGTTAAAAAACAGTCCACTAAAAGCCACATATTTTGAAATCTAAAAGTGAAAGAATTACCATTCTACGTTAACGAAATACCAATAAGAAGAGGAGAATGGTCCGAGAAAGTTTTACTAAGATGCTCCACAAAGGTGTTATTGTTAGAATTAATCCATAGATCATTAAAAAGCATGCGATCTAAACGTTGCCACATATTACCACGATTCCAAGTTAAAGCATTACAAGAAAAATCAATATTAGCAAGATTACAATCCAAAATCATATTATTAAAATCCTTCATAGATTGATAAACGGGATTAGAACCACCAACTCTTTTAGCAAGGTTACTGATAGTATTAAAGTCACCCCCCACAAACCAAAGCATGTTTGATGTAAGCAAGCCCACCCCCTATGTGTTTGGGCTGATTTGGGTTTGATGGGGGGTGGATGGCTGTTGGCAGTTCGGTTTATGTTCCCTGGCTATCCCGGTTCCCTTGGCCTTGGTTGTTCGGGTCCTGTTGTTGTTCCCTGGCTTTCTCGGTTCCCTGGGCTTTGGTTGTTCAGGTCCTGTTGTTATCCCTTGGCTTTCCCGATTCCCTGGCTGTTCGGGTGGGCTTCAACCGAGACTTAAATGCTGCCTTTTCCTATTCTGCTTAGTTGTTTTGGGCGGCTGCCTTAGGTGTCTTTTGGGCTCCTTTTCTCTATTTAAGGGGTTGTTTTGCTAATGTTTAAAGAGTGAAAAAATATGATGATTTTTGGAGCAAAAACCTGAGGGTTTTCTTAGCTTGTGAGCTAGTCTTCTATCCCTTTCTCCTCTTATACTTCGTCTCGTTCTTCTTTCTCTTTCTTCTCGCCATGGTAACCCTTCAATTGTATCTTTCTTCTCAATCTATGAAAAGTTGCAAGGTGTCATTGCATAGTATTTTATTTATGTCCTAAGGAAGTGTTGTCTTGTATGTTAGAAGTGTTGTTGTGTTCTGTTTTATCCTTTTCTATTTGAAGTTGTAAGTGTATTATCCGTTTTATTATAAGTGGTGTTTTGTCATGTTTTATTGTTGTGTTTGTTTAAGTTATTTTGAAAGGAAGCGATTATTTGTATACCTAGTGTTCTCCTACTAGCCTTAGGAATCCTAGGTTGCATCAATGTTAATAATATCATGAAAGGTAGTAAGTTGATTCCACAAATCTTTTCTAATACCACGAGAAGAAGAAGCATAGACAATTAAATTGCATAAATTGAATGTTGCAATGCAGTATTTGAGAAAAATCAGTAATAATATCAATAAAAATAGGATATTTCCAAAAAAAAACCCAAATTTTGTTAGAAATGTTCCCTAAACTATAGTTAAAACCTAAAAAATGAGAGTTGGCATCCAACATAGCAGCAGAAATAAGAGGCTCCAATAAAATTAAAAGCACCACATTATGAATACATCATTAAATTCTTAACCCTAGTTCTAGAAGAAGGGAAATCAATGCCCCTAACATTCCAAATGATGGATTTAATCATAAAAAAGGTTATTTGTTTAAAGTTTGAAATCATGTAGATCTAGGTGAGTGCAAATTAACATCTTTTTGCTTCTTGTTTTTCTTATTTTTCACAAGATTATGCTCAACATATTCCTTAGTAGAATTAATCATTAGAAGTTGAGGCAATCTTACTACCATTACCATTGACATTGTCGCTATTCAGCAACTCTTGTTCTCTTTCCTCCACATTATCATGTAATAGCTCTCCCTCCTCCATATGATGAAGTTCACCCTCTTCCACATCAACCTTTTACAAGTTGATAACCTGATTGAAAGAACAATCCACATTAGAAGCTTTTCCTAGCTCTCCTTCTTCCAAGTTTTGTTCACCTAACTCCTGTTCATGAATTATGGCGTTAGCGTTAACATGATGAGAAACCTCATTTATGTTTAGGACATAATCAAGTTCATGTAAATTCTTGATAGTAGAGGAAGGAGATTGCAAACCTTTTGACTGCAATTTTAATCTTTCAATATTAGAAAAAAAAATGTTTAATTAAAAAATATATATATATATATATATAGCGTAGAAATTTACATGCATGCGGTAAAAGAAAATTTTATAGCTTACGTGCATACCAAATGGAATGAAAATATTAGATTCATCACATTTTTTTAATTATATGTTAGTTGGGTTGTGATTAGGGTTCATTAGTAGCTTGACAAAAAACTAATAAATTAGCAATGAGGTAGAACAAGGAGAAGCAGAAAATACCTAGGGCTGAGTATGGCGAACACCTGCGCAAGGGCGGATAGTTGAAGGAGATCACGGTAGGAATAACTTAAGTTTAACCACTTGAAATAGGAAGGAGATTCAGCCTGGAGGTGGCTCTGGGCTGCTGAGGATGGCGGGGACGTCGGAAATCAGTGGAAGTTAGGCCGACGGTGCTTGGACGGGGGTCGGGACTGTTTGCCAGAACCGATCGGCAGCAGGCTGCTTGGCGGTTGCCATTGTTGGGCAGGAGAAAGGCGAAGCCGAAGGATTGACGGAGCTGCTAACTAGGGAAGCTTTGCTCTAGACAAGTCGCTGGAAAGGAGGAAGGCCGCAGAAGTGATGCGTGGACGTGTAATTTGGACAATATGCTTTCAAAACTCTATCTTGTAACGGAGTAAGCATGTGCGAGAAAACTTTTGTAACTGGTAAAAAACAATGTATTATCAAAATAAATTATGTTTAAGCTGTGCTTCCAAACAAGTAAAAATTTACGAATTTCAACGTATACAACCTGAAAACTGAGAAAATAAAACGAATCAAATGAGAACTTAGTGACATGCCTCAGCTATTTAGATAGATGCATTCTGAGTTTAGCAGAGTCCATCCAATTTCAAGTTTGCATCAAAGGGTCAGCCTGTTTCACATGATTCTTGTCACTGTGCACCTGATATTATAACTCACCATAACAAAGCAAGCTAAATGCAAAAAAACCTCATCTCTCCGATTCCTCCAGTTTTATTCTTTATTGAAACGTTCCACACAAAATAATTACCATGAAATGGTGCCCATGATTACATGGCCCTCCTTAAATTGACTTCATAGAACTTGCCGTAAATCAGGACATTCCCTTATCAGCAAAGAAATTGTTTGAGGACTGATGCTGCAGTGTCTTTCAACCATTACGGATAGAATTTCAGAGCACATCTTATGATGACCTGCTTTCAAAAGGCCATCTATAAGAATTTTCCATATAATTTCATCGTGATTATACTCCCTTTCAAGCAAGTCTAAGAATGCTAACTTTGCACTATCAAAATGCCCTTCATTACATAGTTCAGAAAGAAGATCCTGGTATAATTTCAGATCTGGTAGATAACCATTATTAAACATGGAATTGACTAATTGCAATGCCATCTCATGCATTTTTAAACGAACGCAACAGTTGATAATAGATGTGTACGCCATATGATTTGGTGACAATCCAATTTCAAACATTTGCAGGAACAACAGGCGTGCCTCTTCAAACCGGTTAAATCCACACAATGCAGAAATGAGGGTAGCGTAGGTAGTAGTGCAAGGTTCACAACCACTTCTAATCATTTGCTTCAAAAGCTCCTGTATGTTATCCATCTGTACTAATTTCCATATGTGCGACGGATCAACAGATTCACTCACAGGGCTACACCTTCTAAGAAGACAGTTAAGTAAAATAGCATAAGTCACATGATCAGGCTCGCATGCCGCATCGATCATGTGCTTGAGAGCAGCAAAAGAATGGTCCAACAAACCCAGTCTTCCATATCCACCAATCAAAGTATTAAAAGTAAGCAAATCAGGTCTCACTTCCTTCTTTTTCATTTCTGCCATCACATGTTCTACATCTTCTAGCCTACCTTCATTGAAATAAGAACCAATTATTATTGTATATGTATATATATCCCAGCTATATCCTAAACAAATCATTTGCCCTAAGGTTGACATGGCAAGATTTGCTTCTCCTTCCTTGAACATTTCATTAATGAGAATGTTGTAAGTGCTGTTATCGGGTTCTACTCCCTTCTCTGACATTTGACCAAGTAATAGCATAGATTCTTTCAATTTCCCCTCCTTGCACAAGCCTTCAATCAAAGAATTGTACGTATAAGTGTCAGGAAAGAAGCCATCTGAAACCATCCTTTCAAAGATTTCATAAGCTTTTTCCATCCGTCCTGCCTCACATTGCCCATGTATGAGAGAATTGTAGATTGCATTGCTTGGCCTTACACCCATCTGGTTAAGGGAGGAAAAAAAAGCATAGGCCTCCTCTGTCCTACCACATTTGCAGAGTGCATCAACCAATGCACCATATGACTGTTGATCAGGGATGACACCATTATCATTCATTAAAGAGAGCAACCTAAAACCACTATCAATATCACCATGCTTGCAGTGGCCATAAATCAACAGATTGTATGTGACAACATTAGGAGACAACCCCCTGTCAATCATTTTACTCAAGATATTCATTGCTTTGTGCAACTTCCCTTCACCACAAAATCCATGAATTAGCTCATTGCAAGTTCTACTATCAGGATTTTGCTCATTAGCCTCCATTGACCTCACCAGCACAAAAGCATCATCAACTTTTCCTTTCTGGCATAAACCAACAATCAAAGAATTGAAAGTGACAACATTAGGAACCATGCCCTTCTGGCCAATAGAATCAAACATCTTCCTTGCGTCCATCAACCTGTTTTCCATGCAAAGAGCATAAATCAATTGATTGTGCATCCACAAATCAGGCTTATACTGACTAGAATCTAAAACCCCAAGAATCCTCAAGGCATCATTAACTCGGCCTCCTTTACAGTACCCCTTAACAAGAGCATTGTAAGGAATAATGATAGAAGCCAAACCATTATTAGCAAGGTCAGTAAGTATATTCTCCGCTTTCTCATACATACTCATCTTACACAAACCATCAATCAAAGTCGTGTAGGTATAAGCATTTGGGGAGCAGCCATTGTACTCCATTTCTGACAACAATTTTAAGGCTTCCTCCACCTGAAAAGCCTTCAAGAGTCCGTCAATCAGTATAGTATAAGAGTGTACATCCCTTTTGCAAGACTTGCGCAACATTGTCTCAGAAACCATGCCAGCTCTATCGATATCATTTCTTCTACAATATCCCAGCATCAATGAGTTGTATGTGAAGGTATCAAGATCAAATCCCGCCCGTACCAGATGGCCAAGGTAGATCATCGCATTAGATATGTCGCCAAGCTTGCAGGATGAGTTAATCATGGTGTTGTAGGTAAAGAGGTTGGGTAAGATGCCGGCGAGGAGCATTTGGCAATAGACGGTCTTCATCTCAGTAACCATGCCGAATTTTTCCAGTTTGAGCAGGAGAGTGTTGTAGCATCTAAGGCTTGGGCAAGAACTGCGTCCACTGTTGGCGGAGACCATGATAGCATCGAGGGCGAGGCGGGTGTCGGCCGCGGAGACGCAGGATTGGAGCATGGAGAGGCGAAGGCGGTCAGCAGAGCCGCGTGGCGGTGGTGAAGCAGCTAAGGATGCAGAGGTGGAAATGGTGGGGCTGGCCGAGGGAGATGGATCATGGTTTAGGGCAGCAGTTACGGCAACGGTAGAAACTGATGGCGTCGAATAAGCGTGAGGAAAAAATATAGTTAGGGAATCAGGTTTAGCCGGTGAAAATATGCTCGTGCATCTTCTTCTCATCTTGCGGCTATGACCTGTTGAGGGTTTTGCAATCACGAATTGAGAGAGAGAGAGAGATCCGGCGAGGCGGAGGCAGTCGATGTAACCTTAAGTTGCAAACGGGTCTGATCCAAGTTATTTTGTGCGAAGCGTTCAATAGATCCAAGTTATTTCTCAAATTCATCTGTTCCATATAAATATTGGCATGATGCGGCCTTAACCGCGACTTATCTTATAAATAGGAGGCCTTCTCCCACCACCAATAAAATTTCACCGTATGAAATTCTCCACAATCAAAACCCTGACTATGCGCATCTTCGCACATTTGGATGTGAATGCTTCCCATTAATCCCCAACCATCTTCGTCACAAACTCCAACCCAAGGCCAACACATGTGTTTTCCTTGGCTACTCGGACATCTACAAAGGATATAAATGCCTTAATCTTACCACAAACAAGGTCCAAATATCACGTCACACCACCTTCAACGAGCACTCTTTTCCCTTTGCTAAAACTAATCCTCCTCATATTACCTCTTTGGCATATTGCTCTACTTTCCCATTAACTCATGTTTCTACTATTCCTAAGTCTCAAAATTCTTGCCAGCACAATACTCAATCCACTGTCTTACGGCCTAATCCCACTATCACGGACCAATCCCTGGGTTCCTCCTTTATTAGTCCTCCACAACCTGAACTGAAACTCAGTTTTGATCTTCTACCACTCCCGTCTCATGTCCCTTGTCATCCGATGATAACTCGAACTCAAATAGGTTCACTTAAACCTTGTCAACGTCTTAATCTTCTTCACGAACATGCCAATTCTTCTATTGACCATGATTCTACTTCATTTATCGAGGCCAACAAACACTTCGAATGGCAACAAGCCATGGCGCACAAATTTTTCACGTTACAAAAACATGGTACGTGCCAGCTTGTATCTCCACCTAATGCTCAAATTCTAGGTTACAAATGGACATATCGTACGAATCATCATGCAAACGGGTTGGTGGCAACACACAAAGCTCGTCTTGTAGTAATGGGCAACCATTAGGAGTATGGAATCGACTACAATGAAACATTCAGTCCGGTGGCCAAGCTCCCTACTATTCGTATTCTATTGACGGTAGCACTTCACCACAACTGGCCGGTGCAATAATTGGATGTTGCAAATGCATTTCTTCACGGCAAATTATCTGAAGTGGTTTATATGAATCATTCAAAGGGCTTTGAAGATTCATCCCATCCTGAACATGTTTGTCTTCTCAAGAAAGCCATCTACGATCTCAAACAGGCGCCACGACAATGTTATAACACCTTCACGTCTTATCTTTTATTCATTGTTTTTATTCACAACAAATCGGACCCGTCCTTGCTAATCAAACATCAATCAGACACCAGCATATTTCTCCTAATGTACGTAGATGATATTCTCATCACATGCAACAAACCCGTTGCCATATCTGGTTTATTAAAACAGCTAAACATCACATTTACTATGAAAAATCTTGGAGTTGTTCATTCATTTCTTGGCATTCATATCACTCATCAAAATGACAGCTACTTTCTATCACAAAAATCATATGCCAATTCCATTTTACATCAAGCATATATGGCTAACTGTAAACCACTTTCGAATCCCACATTCACAAAACCCCCAACTTACTTTCCTGAAGACAAAATTCTTGCGGATCCTGCACTATATAGGCGATTACCTGGATCTCTACAGTACCTTACTCTAACACGTCATGATATTGCCTATGCTATAAATTTAATATCTCAAAACATGCATAATCCATTGTCTCAACATATACATATGCTTAAACGTTTGTTAAGATATATACAGGGTACTCTCTCTTTCGATATACCCATTACGAAAAGTAATCTTACTCTTCAATCATTTTTTGATGCTGATTGGGCAGGAGATCCTATATTTCGGAAATCTACTTCGGGTTATTGTTCTTTTTTAGGTACTACTCTAATATCCTGGATGGTGAAAAAGTAACATATTATAGCAAGATCGTCTACATAGTCGAAATATATAGTGTTGGCTGTGGTAACAGCCGATACTATTTGGCTTCGTCGTATTCTCTCGGACTTCAACATCAACACAGATCTTCCAACATATGTGTTCTGCGATAACACATCAGCCATAGCCTTGCCAAACAATCCAGTCTTTCATGTCTGGACCAAACACATTGAAATAGATCAAAGATTTATCCTGATCATATCACCAACAACGCCATACGACTTCTTCCAATCAGCACAATTGATCAAGTCACTGACATTTTTACCAAGCCGCTATCGACACTGAGATTCCAACGACTTTGAGTGATGAGGACATCAGAGCATGAATCAAAGTCGTGGTCGTCGATCTACGGCCACGATCACATCGATGACTTTTGAGTTATTATATGTATTTGTTTTATTTTGTTATTTTTCTTTTATTATTATGTTGTAATTGTTTTTTCGTCTTTACACCTTACTTAAAGGGAGGTCGTATGTAAGCCCTGAGGGCATTGTGATCTTTTTTTATTTCTTGAGTCCTTGTACTTGGTTATTTATAGCCCTATGTTTTCTTTGAAAAGGAATGAATGATTATTATGATATTTTTTTACTCTTGTGTTTGAGAGCATTTGAGAGTTCTTGGAGAGAACTTTAGAGAGATTCATAGGAGAGGGAGATCGGATCACTCACCAACCTTGGAGACGGCCGGGTTCGTGGTTTCCTCTATTGTTTTTCATCTTTCCCCTCCCACCACCTTTGTTCATCTTCGTTACACCCAATTCCACTTCCAAATTTTGACCCACATCTTCCCCTAACCAGGCTCTACAATTTCATTCCATCCCATCAAGCCGTCAGCCACCATACAACCTCCTTACCACCCCACCAAATCTCACCTCTCCCATCCATCAAGCAATCGACCTCATCTCCTTCCTCCACCCTTTGAAATTCAAATATCTATTTGAATACTTTCCATAAATACTTACTCTTGATTTGGGAAGATCTAATTTCAAAATTCAAACAATTTGAATTTGAAATTTTCTTTCCTAATTTGAGAAAACATTTTGAATATTTTAGGAAAGTTTCTAAATTTAGACATATTTGAATTTCAAATTCACTTGGACTCATTTAAAACTTTTCCTAATTCCTAAACCCAAAACAAGAAACCTTTCATCCCTTCCCTTAATTCCCTCCAAGGCTATTAATGTCGCCGGCCCCCTTATGGATTGGATTAGGAATTCTTTCCTAAAACCCAATTCTCCCCTTTAGAAACAATTCCAAATATCATGCTCCCTCCTTGGCCGAATTTTCTAAAGTCCACAACTTTTAATTTATTTCCAAAACTCAAGTAATTGGTTTAGGAAATAAATCCCCTCCCCATCCCCCTTTGGCTTAGATTAGGAAACTTTTCCTAAGCACTAATCTCTTTTTCTTTAGAAAGATTTCCCAATTTCATGATGTCCAAAGAAATTTTAAAAGCTCAAGTCTTTATTTGCTTTCCTAAAACCTGACATTAGGATTAGGAAATAAATTCCTAATCCCCTCTCTCCAATTTCCACGGCCCCCTTCTTGGGCTTCTTTGGAAAGCTTTACTTATGACCATGACTTCTCTTGGAAAGAGTTCAAATCTTTCCCTGCTGCTGACCGAAATTTCCAAAGCCCTTCTCCTTAATTTTCTTCCACTAAATCTTCTCCAAACTCAAGCCAATGTGGAGCCCTCTTCTTCATAAGACGGCAGCCTGAAATTCAGCCGATTGCCTTGCTTCCTCAGCCCTTGGAAGACCCATAATTGCTATTTTGGGAAGACAGAATTGCTGCCCACTGATTTCTTTCCACCATAGTTGCTGCCTGTTCATTGGAGAAGCTCTCCTTTGTAATTTAGTGCCTTCCCCAACTCAAGGAAGCAAACATATTTTTGGATGGCTGATCCAAAACATTCTACTTGCAAGAGTGGATAAGGACATATGGGATAGGCTTTGTATAACTTATAAGGGGACTAATGAAGTTAACAATCCAGACTTAATATCTTGTTGTATGACTATGAACTATTTCGCATGAAACCCAATGAATTCATTTCTGACATGTACACAAGATTCACACAAATAGTCATCTCTTTACATGCATAGGGGGAACTAACGAATGCAGAAATTGTTAATAAAATACTTTGTTGTTTACCTACTGCTTATGATACTAAAATAACTGTGATTATAGAGTCTAAAGATTTAAATATTTATTCTATTGATAATATTCTTATATCACTAATTGCTTACAAGCAAAGGGGTGAGTCAAAGAAAGATTTATGTATGTGAACCACGAAGGGAAAAGAATATAGCACTGAAAGTGGAGGAGTCGGAGAGTGAACTCTCTCAACCTGAGGATGAAGATGACATCGCACTGATGACTAGACAGTTCAGAAGCTTTCTGAAGATGAAGTAAAAGAGACACCAACAATGGAATTGAGATAAATTTAATAGGGATGTAAAGGTTTCAAATGATGTTATTTGCAATGAGTGTAGGAAACCTGGACATATTAAGTCAGACTGCTCAAAACTCAAAGCCACTCCTAGCAAGGAGAAGGTAGAGGAGAAACCAATGGTGAAAAAGGGCAAGAAGAAATTCCAAAGAGCTTTATGGGCGGACTCAGCTTCAGACTCGTCAGAGACTAATAAGGAAGAGGAAGTCACAAATATGTACTTAATGGCCGATAATCTTGATCTTTCAGATCAAGAAGAGATAGGTGACTTGTCTTATAATAAACTTTTTGAAGTGTCTAAACTCATACATGATGTATATAGAAAGTTAAGAAAAATGCATGTTAGTCTGAACTTGGAATTTTCAGAACTACAAAGAGAACAAGATATCCTTAGGAAAGATCATGCATTAATTGATAACAACCACATGAAATTGTTTGATGAATTTGACAATTTAAATAAGAACCATAAAAATTTTAAATCATCATATGCAGAACTTCAAAAAATAATAATAATAATAAGGATAAATTTGAGAGAAAGATATATCGAATAAATTATACAAATCGAATATTGAAAGACGTGAATTCATTTTATAAACTAAAGATAGAAGCTCTCGAGGATAATAGGATAACACCAAGACTTGAAGATTTCACCAATCCTATTTTGTATCCTAAGT